AGTGCTGTGGCGCTGTAATCTTTGGCTATGTCTTGGGCTACTCAAATATTTTACGTTTTTGATACTAAATTAACTTCTGAAATGTATTTTTTTATTGTTTTTATATTTTTCAATATATTTATTTTGTTTGTACAAAATAAAAAAATAATTTTTAACGATACAATAGTCTTCGTTAGGCTTAACATCGACGAAAATTCAACGCGAAGCGACACGCAACGGAGAAAAATTTCAACACGGGATAAATTAATATATTTTTTGTACATAATTGGTTATCCGAAAAATTAGTTATCCGAACAATCTCAGTCCCCAATTGATTCGGATAAACGACGCTCTACTGTATTTATTTTGTTCGTATAAAATATAAAAAAAATTTTTAACGATACAATAGTCTTCGTTAGGCTTAACAACGACGAAAATTCAACGCGAAGCGACACGCAACGGAAAAAAATTTCAACACGGGATAGGTTAATATATTTTTTCGTACATAATCGGTTATCCGAAAAATAAGTTATCCGAACGACCCCAGTCCCCAATTGATTCGGATAAACGACTCTCTACTGCAATAAACTATTCTTCTCTCTAAAAATTATTTTAGATACAAAGTGTCGTACAAAAATTTTTTTCGAATAATGGAGAATCGAATTTTGCAATACTATTATATTAATTATTACGCTCATTTCTATTTAGCCTATTCATATTTATAAATGCGAGCGGTAAGTTCTTTAAATAGCTTTTCAAAAATATTGCCGATTAGTTGCGGAGAAGCATTATCTCAAAATGATTCCGGAACGTCATTTAGCAACACTGTAAACGGAGCTACCGAATACGCCGGAGTATCTTATCGCGAGTATCTTTCGATGTGAGATATCGCGAATATTCCCAATGTTTTAGCTGTTTTGGAAAATTGTTTCAAACAACAAACAACGAAGCTGAAGGTGAAATGGTTTTAATTAACAAGGTACGTGTTCGGAAATTATCTAGTTGACAAGACGTAACACGCGATAGGAAACATTTGAAGAGAATTTAACAAATAAATGTTCCGATTTAATCAGCTTAAGTCTGTTAATTTATAATGCTAAAAATTATAGAATAGCTTCGAAACTTTTGTGTGAGGAGGCTACCGAGCCGTATCTCTTGAGAAGATCGGTCGAGTCGCTCACCGATTACATCCGCGAGTAGCGTGGTCGTCGTCGTACCGGAGGAACGATACCGAACGGCGAAGGAGTCCAACGGTCGATGTCGCCAGTTTCTTTTACAGAAATATATACAAGGGTTACCAGGGGCGTGCCGTGACATTTGATGATAGGGGAGCTGTGTTTCTGTAAGAAGCCGACATCCAGGGGCAATCAGTCAATTGCGCATCACTGATGGTCTAGGGTCCATTCGTATCGTTTATTTGATAAGCCAGTAAAAACCGTAGACTTCTCTAAATGCATTTTTAATATNCAATTATCACTAAAACCAAGTTAAGAACACAGACATTTCCCGACAATAAATATTTAAAAATTCTTACAATTTCTGTATTGCCTTTCTTCACTATCCTTCCACCTACACTTACTATCCACAGCAACCATACGATTTGACATATTCCTAATTTTTTATTTTTTTTTTGACAATTAAAATCAATTTAAAACAAAAAATTTGATCATTATCTAAAATATTATATCAAATCACTCACTTCGTTTAGTTCGTTTGTATCTGCTTACTTTTGTTTCTAATACATTCTCATTTCCTTTTATAATGCTTAACCATGATTGGTGGATTTCTCTACCACTGTTGGTATTCATTTTATTATTTTGCTTAATTATATTTAAATGCTCGTACAGTTGTCTTTTATAATTATTTTTTTCCTTCATTCTAATTTTTACTGTATTTAGATCTATTGTACAACCTTCTGAATTACAATGGTCCGATACTGCCGAATTTGCATATTTTCCTTTAATTGCTTTGATATGTTCACTTAATCTTATTTTTAATTTTCTTTTAGTTTCTCCTATATATGTTTTTCTTGGATTACAATTACAATCAAATGAATATACTATTCCTTTTTCCTCTGTTATATCATATTTTTCTTCTTTTCTGTAACATAATTGTTTTTTAGTTGAATTTATTTTTTCCGGTATTAAGTTGATTCTATTTTTAATTACATTTTTAATTCTTTCAAATAGTTTTGGGACATATTTTAATTTAATAAATTTTTTCTCTTTATCTATTAATTTTGGTTGTTTGTCATTATCTAGTTTCTTAATCCATTTTTTTATTATACATTTTGGGTAGTCGTTTAGAATAAACATTTTAATTATTTCTTCTTCTTCTTGTTTTTGCATTTCTATTTCACTTGTTCTTTGCCTTATTTTAGTCACATACATTTTAAATATATTATATTTCATGCTGACCAGAATTACAGATTTATAGTTGATTATTTTGGGTATTTGTATTGGTTTGACATATTTCTTGTAAATTAATCTATTATTTTTTCTTTCTATGGTTATATCTAAGTAATTTATACTATTCTGTTGTTCTTTTTCTAACTTAGAAAAAGAACAACAAATGTTGCTGTAATTGTATTAGACATTTTAAATAATACTTAAATTTTTATTTATTAAAGAATACCAAAAGTGATGTAAAGGTAAGAATTAAAATAGTTATAGTGAATAATTTAATGTATACTTGATTTAAAATGGCAAATGGTATATTTATAAAATATAGAAAATANTTCATAAATGCATTATAATTTATTAGATGGAAAGATACATAACATTTAATAAATAGTATAGCTTGCTTATATGTATGTATAATAATTAATGAAAAGTGAAGACTAAGTTTTAGTTAAATATAAGGATTTTACCTTTAAATTATTTTTAAATTGATTCAAGACTTAAAAAACTAAGTGAAGTTTCCTGTAATTTTGACAATTCTTATATAGAAAGAGTTGCTTCAATACAGCAAATTACTGATGTAGGGGTTTTTACATCTTTAAAGAGGTTTTTGACAAATACAAAAAAACCTTATATGGTAAACTTAAATTTAACTTATTCAACATAATATTTTAAAGAAAATTCAATTGTATTATGGAATTTTCATAGAGTTCTGAAAAATTCATGGGAATAACTGTTCCTCTAAAAAAATTTCTAAATATAGGAAAAAATATTTTTTGATTTGTTATTAAAAGAAATACTTTTGCATTAGTTTTATTCAAATTAAATAAATATTTCTATATGAAAACCGTTTTTATAGAGAAATTAAAACTGTTAAAACTAATTTTCATATTTCTATATGAAAATTACTGCTTGACTTGCTCAATTTTGAGGCTGATTTTATCCTCTGAAAATGTGTCATAAATTCATAATTTTATATCATATATTAATAATTCTGTATTTTACTTCTTAATGATTTCTTAGACTGCTTTTAATATATTTTACTTGCTGCATAATTTTATTACAGGAACTTTCTAACAAAGAAACTTATACACCAAACATTTTTCAATTTTATTTTATTAAACTTTATTTTAATTTAAAAGTTTTAGTAAATATTTACTTTTCGTTGTACAAAATTCGTTTTTGAGTCTAATTTTTCCTAGCTAAATAAACATAATTAATTAACTTCTGTTATTTTGTTTTAATAAATGAATTCACAATTAAATTAGATTTAAAATTTATTATGTTGTTATTTTCAGGGTTTGAATTTTTACACCCAACTTAAAACTGTGACGCAATTATGGAGAGAGCAGGATGCTGGTCACACCAAAGCTGCCACTGCTATGCCAGTGATGAGATAAAAATACAACAAAACATTCACTGTTTACCCTAGTCTTCCTCATTCCAGGCAAACAAAGTGATAATTATCAGAAGAGATTATGAAATCACAAATTTTCTGCAAATATTTCATTGTCTCTATTGCACTATATGGAAATAAATTATATATATTTTTAGGGTTTGTTATAATTTTAATATTTGATAAATTTTATAATTTGATCTGATTAATAATANTCTACTCGTTATTCACGTAATTGGCCAAATATCTAGCGGGCGGGCTGCTAACGGCCCGGAACCGATCCGGATAGAATTGGAAGCGTTATATGTGTAACATCGACCCGAGATCGTAGACTTCCACCGGCTAAACGGGTGAGGTTGGTGGTCTGTAAAGGGCGTGCGCAAATCTGGCTTTTTGGAATCTGACAATACAGAGATTCCACTCCGCCACTAACATTCGAATATACAATAGCGATCTTATTTTTTTTCACTCGTAGTATAGAAATTTGTAATAAGATACGAAATGCGGTTATAATAAAATATTGTGCGATTATTTTCGTATAATTAAAATTAATATGTATTTATTTTTTATAAAATACGAGGGAAGCGGCGTTTCCACCGCTTCTAATGACGGCACGCCACTGAGGGTTACAATTACATCGACAGTGGAAAGAATGTTCGGAGCACGCGGTGAGGCGAAAATCCGAACGGGAGTATGTCGAACTGTCGCGTGTTAAATGGATTCGAGAATTATACGTGTAAAGTTTGACAGAGAAAGCTTTATTATTTTATACGAATTATTTTATTAGCGGTAGGCCGGGCCCGTCGACCGTCTACATAAACAATATTAAAACATTTGGAATTTTTTTCTTTTTTGAACTAAGGAATTTATACGCTAAAACATTTGTCAGTAGGTGGCGCGTGTGTCACGGAAGTCATGTGATTACACGCGAGAAGAATTATAGGTTGCGAGGAGGAATATCAGAAAGAGAAAAATGTCAGGCAATCAAGGAATGGAACATTTAATTCCCGTCGTCAATAAACTGCAAGATGCATTTAGCCAGTTAGGAGTTAGTTTGACGTTGGATTTGCCTCAGATCGCCGTCGTCGGTGGACAAAGTGCTGGAAAAAGTAGTGTTTTGGAGAATTTTGTCGGAAAGTGAGAATTTTCTAAACTTGCATTATTTTAATTGATTAATTGAATTGACATTCGGCCGTTGACAGGCACATTACTTACTTTTCACTTTACAATATAACTTAATGTAATTCTATGTTAACTGATTAAATATTTATGTATAGAAACAGTTAAAGATAAAGAAGATGCAATGGTGAAATTCTTTATTTTTTAATAACATTTAATTAGTTAATCGTGTATTCGTTACGATGAAAGTATGACATTATTTTCTGTCTTCCCCTGTGAGAAACTGAAACGTAGATTTTTAAAATATAAATACTTGTAATAAAAAAAGAAAGTTTAGTTAATATTTAAGACAGCTATTTTAGTGTCATACTTCGGTTAACAAGGTAATTTATTCTTTATTTTTAGTCTATGAATTTTAAATTTTTTCACACGTTTTTACGGAATGCTGTATTTAACGTAAGTCGAAATACGCGACGTATGAAAATATTATGATTTATACGTCGATCGAAGATCAATATTTTTGATTGATCGTTACGTATAAAATATATATAAGAGTGATTTCGATTTAACGGCTATTTTATCTCTGACTGGCACCGTTTGTATCCCGCCGGTGAAAACGCGAGAAACTAGGGATCTCGGTACGATCCTTTGCCCGAATGATTCTTTGGGATTTGTTTCTTGTAGTGCTAAATGATTTGCAAAACTCGATAAGTGTTTAAAATAGAAAAATGAAATGGCATTCTAAAACGGGATTTCTTTGCGAAAAGAGATCTCGAATGATTATTTGATTTGAGATACGTTGTCGGTGTCGTTTGCTGGTGTACGTTTAGTTTACGGAGTTGCCGTAACGTCGTGCGCTAAGCTTGTAATAATATATAAATTATGAGATTTCTCTCGACTGTTCGGGAGGAAATTAAAAAATTAAGATCGATTTTTGGGCGTATCCGACGAGAGACGAGGAAAACTTTGTAATGCAATATGTTGTAAAAAGGGTTGCTTCTTGATGACTTTTGTGTTTTGATCTTAGAGATGGCCTACATTCCTAACAGGATACTAACAAATACTGGCAGAGATAAAAATTTTGCCACACTTTGTTAACATTGGCATGTATACTATTTTGTAAAAGAAACCATTTTACAAATGGTCTGAGTTGAATATAGTTGTGAAGTTATTTCTGAGATGAGTATTTCTAAGTTATCAAATTCTGTAGTATTTTCTTTTCTAAATATTTTATTATGGTGAATCAAATTTTGATTAGAAATGTAAACTTCTTATGCTTTCGTATCCATAAGACAATGATAAAATAATAAATAAAGTAAAAATTTCAAAGTTAAGATAAATGTAAGAAAAATCAAAGACCACATAAAGTGACATGGTTATTTTATCAGTTATTTTTTTTATAGTAGAATGTTACGTCGTTTAAGTATGCAATTAATAATTGGTAGTTTTAAATTTACAGCAGATTCAATATTGTAATATTTATTTATTTATTTATTCTATATTTAATTAGAAATGTCTAATGACAAATGATATCTTTCTCCATTTTATATGTAAAATATAAAAATTTAACAGTAGCAGTAACACACAACTTCACTGTAAGCATGTTAAAATGTAGTTTAAAACTAAAATTAATATAATACATTACTTAAAATTGAAATTAAAATATATGGTAATACAATATAAAATATTGAGAATACTAAGTTAACCAAAAGTTACAAATAAATACAGTCAAAATAAAAGACTAAACCTTACATAGAATATGTTTACAAAAACTTTTAAAAGATGTAAAATTTAGGGGAAGTAAATGTTCTATTGGTTTTAAGTTTTCTATAATTCAAAAATTGTTTTTGATTGATGTGTTACACTAACAAAGATTATAGTTATAAAATATTTTTATTTATGTTTTCAAATTATTAAAATATTAAATGTATTGGTAATATTAGTTAGTTATTTTATGAACTTCAAACAAAGGGTGGGCCAAAAGTCACTTTACCATGTAAAAATGAAATAACTTTTTTACTTTTCATTATTTTATAAGTTTCTTTTTAACATTATAATGTACACATCTTGGAGATTGTTTTGGCTTAAACATGAAAGATAACATCTTTTAAATGATCCCGTTTTCCTCTTCACAAAGGTTAGCTCTTTCTATGGCAAAGTGACCTTTGGCCCACCCTGTACATAATAACAATTTGATTGTTATTATGTATTTGAAGTATTTAAATTGTTATTATGTATATATAAATAACAATAAATAACTACAACATAAATTATAAAACATAATTAAGTTTTTTACATGTTGATATAAGATTTAATAATTATTTATAGAAAACTAATACAATATAAAATTTAATTATATAAAATCTAGTTCCTTTATTTCTTATTTTTTTAATATGTTTTTTTACATAAAATATTAAAGATAATAAAATTATGATTAAGGCTAATCTCTAATTTCCAACTTCAACTACTCTGATTCATAGAATTTTAGTCTCATTCTGACTTGAACTTCAATTCCTGCCTCTAAATAATGATTTAAAATATACTTTGATTATATTAATCTCTATGGCATTTTATCACTACTAACTGTAAGTGAATCACTAGGCTACTTTTTAAGGATGTTTTAAGTGAATCATTGCCAGGAATTCCTGTTGAAACCACTGAGCGTTCTTATCTTTTTTCACAGTATTTTTAATTATAACCACTATCGTCTTCATCTTCAACCATACATTGTATACAATCTGTTCCATTAGTGGTTATAAGAAAGTATCCTTTAGCCAATTTGTATGAGTCCTTTGACAATACATTCTGTGCTAGCTAATTCTAAATTTTTATTCAAATATAAATTTCTGAAATAAACAGTTATTAGTGATATGCAAAGAAGGATTATAATTTAGGGAAATCATCATAAAAGATCTTGCATTACAGGAGCTCCTATAATGCAAGATAGGAGGGTATTAGGAGCTTAACCTGAACCAATATCAAGTACTGTACTGTAGATACATAATAAAAGAACAGGAATCAAGTTGGTTCATTTTTACTGACTCCAACTTCAACTCCTCTGGCAACAAATTTGCTTCCAACTCCAATATCTACAAATAATCCAATATCTGCTTTATTAGAGAATCAACATTGAACATGCTTAATATATAACATGTTAAACACCAACTGTATGCCGAAAATCTATCGGGCTAGTTTAAGGTGTTTAGCTATATATATATATATAACCCATTCAAAGTGTCCGTCTGTCCTGTAACCGTTTGATAACGGACACTAGAGGCACCCCTATCGTGTGTCATATTTCAAACATTCAAATTAACAATTTTAATTCTTATTTAAATTAACAATATGAATTATTATTATTCATTTGGCCCATAAATTATTATTTGGTCAATATAACAATATAAATAATTCAGTATATTTGTAATAGGAATTTATTATTTCAGGGGCTTATATCTCGCGAAGGATCGCGAGTAGGGGTATGGTTCCTTTGACTTTATTGTTCGCACAGGCTACAGTTTGGGGGGTCGCCACCTCTTCATTCGGAGGGTAAATCTTACCATTGGGACTTTAACAGAGCTGTACAGCATATTGATAGGAACAAAAAAGTCAAAGGAACCGTGCCTCATGGAAATTTGTAAAGAACGCCCACTAGGGGGCGTCCAGGGCTACTAGTATTATATATCGGGTTTATCGATGTTTGTATATAACATGTTCCAAGTACTTTAAACCCTTGTAGCACATCATGCAAAAATATCAGTACATAAATATCAAATTCAGAACATTGAAAGTATTTAACTCAAATTCATTTTATTCTGTCTTCCACATTCTCATACAAATGAACTTTTTGAATGTGTAATAGGTTTTGGAATAAATTTGAGTTTAAAAAAGATGCTTTGAATTTGATGATTATTTATTTTGTAATATGTAGATCATCTTGATAATGAGCCAAAAGAATTTGGAAGTACTTCCTTGTAAAAGTATCAATTAATATCATTTGAAATAGTACAGTTGGAATTATTTAAATTGAATTATCTAAATTGAGATAATTGAACTATCAATAGATATTAAATTATGTCAATCATTATCATTTAAAATGTTGTCAATTGATATCATTCAGTACAAATTGTTTTGAATGAATAATTTTGGACTGTAAAATGACAAATTAACAATTTGTATCAGTTAATGTTCAAGTGATATCTGTTAATGTTAAATGAAATGAATTGTTATGAACTGTTTGTGGTTACTTTTCTTAGTCTGAAATATCCATTCAAATTAATTGATATTAAATGATATCAGTTAACATCATTTGAAATAATGATATCTTTTAATGAGTTATTTTATATTTCACATTATAAAATAATAACATAACGATTTCATATCTATTTTATGCTTTTCAAATTATCATCATCATTAAATTAAATTGATATAATTAGTATGTGTATTTCAGAGTATTATGAAGAAATACATATGACATATTATGATCTAATAAATTTAGCTGATAATGTTATGAGGTTGTTTATGGGTATTCAAAATTTTTAATTCTGAGAATATCTATTCTCAAAAATTAAAATGTATTGAGAGCTATAAAGGTATTATGATAATCAAAAGATGTGTAATACAAATAATAATAATTACATTATTAATTATGCATCAAATGTTAAAAAATTATTTCAGCATCACATTTTATATTATCACTTAAAAACAAATATCCAAAAATTTATTTTCTTATAAGCAATGTAATATTTTTAGACAAAACAATTAAAATTATTTTTATTAGGTGAAGAGAAATCTGCATTGAATAATATATCAATAAATTCCGATGAGAAGAGTATAAGTTTCTGTAATAAAATTATAATTTTCAAACTCAAATTTCCATCAAAAATATATTAATTTATTGATACAAATGATGATTATGCTATTTTTAATGATAGAACCTATGGATAAATTTTAAATTTTGTTATATTGACAAATAATTTTCCTGAACAATTATGCATTCTATTTTATACCATAATCAATTA